TTTAACTTGAAAAAATTATCAGTATTGGTTTTTATCTTTGAGTTTTATTCGAAGTTGATTGCCTTTGATAAAATAACATTTAATCCCAAACCTTGACCGCTGTAATTGTTAACACTTAGTGGTAGGGTGGCCCATGTGCTCTACAGAAATAAAGTCCACCGCTGATAGTTCGAGACTACCACTGAAGCGTACACATTCGCCGTGCCGAGACCAACTTTCTGACAATATGATACTATAAATAGCCATGGCACGTGCAATTCTCTACAAATCTATCAACTATTACAGCCGTAAAAAATTTATTGTTGACGATTTTGAATAGCAGTGAAATTAAGCTTCTTGGTTATTACAGCAGATTTAGAAATTACGTTCGTTTCATTTTTTAAATCGCTTTATCATTAACTGTACCGTTAAGAGCGGCATCTTTTGGTTTAGTACAAATAATATCTCTGAATCACTCGGATTAGACAGGAACATGATACTTGCAGTAGTTTCATTTTACTTTTACAAGGTTCTTAAAACGATTGTTGAGCTACCTAACGTGCTTATTTCTAAATTCAATTTCTTGTTCTAGCTTTCTGTTATGTTTCGTAAAAAAGTAGTCTTGATTATCCCGACCTGTCAATCAGACGTAGAATGGTCGATAGACTGGTTAAGCGAGACTAATTTCAAAACAAGGGCACGTAACCTATCTTTTACTCAAAAGTGTCTGGATGTAATGGACGACACTTGGAACCAGTTTTCAGTCTATTATTTATAGATGATTAATGGTCATAGCTTATTAAGTACAACATGATCGTTTATTTAGTGACTATAATTGTGTGAAACTGATTTGAGGCTTGGCATATATATAAATATTGTGGCGTAATTGTCGAGATATAAGGAGATATATGGAGATATTTATTTATGGTGGGTCACCCTACTATTAGTGGAAATCCTGTAGACTGTCGGCAACAACAAGGTACTATTATTATTGAGTCTATGATGAAAGGTGTTAGTCACGTATTGTCAGTGAATTATACAGTTAACACATGTAACTACCACTGGCCCTTTCAACACATCTCTGGGTACCGTGTACAAGCTGGCGTGTACATACATGTAAATTCGCTCAGGGCACACTATTGACGTAATATCATTGAAACGATTTGACGATGCGTCTAAATGTTAAGGCCAACTGCAGGTTTCTTCTAGGTCATGAGACGTAAACAGTACTAGCGCTAATGTAGAGAATATCTCCTTATATGTACCCCCCTTATGGTACCTCTTTGACAGGTTATCCCTGTCGCACGATCACCTGACACCAACACACGCCACACTAACCCTAATCCTAACTCTAGTCCTAACCGTAACCCATAATTCCCGGCAACAATCACGTGCACTCACTCTGTTTATATCTCGTGACCTTGACGAAATCTGCAGGTGGCCATAATATTTCGACCTGACCGTGGAAGCCACAGTGGCATAGTGAGTTGGACGTTCGGTGTTCAATCCAAGCGTTAAGCGAGAAAGTTCCTCGCGAATTTGCGACGTCGTTTCTCCATGTACCAGCTATATCCGGGATTTAGGAATAAATTAGTTATAAAGTTCGTCGTTTAAACACCGCACTAACGCCATAAGAGATGGGTGGGTGAATTATGGCCCACTCGACACAAACAAGATCATGTTTATGATACTTGCTTGCGCTTAGCGGTCTTTAACAGTGTGGAGGGACATGTGAACCTACTCCTTGTCACGGATCTAAATCAGGCGATCCTACTTCTTGTCACATACATACTTGGGATCGAAACCACACCACCTGACTCAATGACAGACCTAGTGAGCTAAAGCGCGTTACACGCCCTCGATAAGAGAGGGGTGGGGTTTAACGTCCACTCGACACAAACTAGGTCATTTCGGGACTAACATATGGTTTAATTTTATTTTAATAATTCGCTTGCGCGTAGGGTCTTTAGCAGTGGGAGGAAACCGGAGGACCCGGAGAAAACCCACAAGGTTGGACATGCGACCCTACTCCTTGTACAACCGGGGATTCGAAACCACGCCAGTTGACTCAATGACAGACTTTATGATACGCCACTCGATAACCTTATATTTAAAAGCATATAAGCGTCAGAAAATTGCCTTGTTTTGGCCTTGAATATCACCTTAACCGGTGTACAATTTAAACAGGTAATTATATAAAATCACTCAGGTGTAAGATTATTTATATTTTATTCTACAGGTAGGTCGAACAGGTAGGTAGAGCGAGACAGGTAAATCGTCGTTTTCTATGTAAACGTTTTCGCCAGCAAAAACGTTTGTCTAATGCAATTGTAATGGTGTCGTTTTCATGTAACCGGCGAAGGCGCGCACTTGGAAAATGGTTTAGAGAGAGAGAGAGAGAGAAATGGGGTTTAACCTCCACTCGACACAAACCAGGTCATTTCGGGACTAACATATGGTTTAATTTTATTTACATAATTCGCTTGCGCGTAGGGGTCTTTAGCAGTGGGAGGAAACCGGAGGACCCGGAGAAAACCCACGAGGTTGGACGGAAAATGGTCCAATATGTTGGCTCGTTAACCTGCAGGCCAAATGTTCGATTCTTGCGTTGTCCGAGATAGTTAATCGTGATTTTGCGGCGGTGTCACCCCTTGTTAGTGATGTCTGGCCAGAGACATAGTCATTGGGATGGGGCGAAAAACCGAGGTCCAGTGTAGGTTACACATTGGCGGGCGCCGGGCACGTAAAAGTAACCCTAATAGTTGGAATTAGAAATAAGAGTAGGCCGTAGACAAGAGTATTTCGTAGCGCTGATGTTCTGGTAAAATATCCTATCACAATGTATGGCGTATGCCCGTCTTCATTATCCCAGTCGGTGCAGAACAGTAGGACGTTAAACCCCATTTCTTTTATAACCCTAATAATAATGGAAACTATATTGTAACTGTTCACATGTCTTATTGAAATCTATTGGGATAATGAAGACATACGCCATGCAGTGTGTTATGGGGGAAATTTTCCCCTGACAGCGGCGTTACGTCCTACTCTTATATCGAATTCCAACTGCCAGGGGATCTTTTACGTGCACGCCAATGTGTACATTATTTCGACAGAAAATAATAAAACATTATTAATTGCTTGTTTTGAAGTCATTATTTTACGGAGGAGTTTTTTCCATTTGTCACGGGGTTTTCAGTACCAGTATACAAGGAGAGGAGGGCGGGGTGGAGGGAGGGGGGGGGGGTCGCCATTCTTGCCAAGGGACAACCTAGATGTATGTCAGTGGAGGAGTGGAATGGGGGTGATTAAACGTCCACTCGACACGAACCAGGAGATAATGACTCTTCAAATATTTGAATATATTAAAACTACTGAGCCACTTGACATTATTATTAGCTCATATTAAATCCGGTTTGATACCTGACGGTAAATATTGCCTGGATTAATCATTTCATTCAGGTTATTCGAGTATAACGGTCTAGGTCAAATGATATAATATCACATTAAACCATGCAATATTATTTTATACCACTATTACATATCTCTCAACAGAATATACGGTGTCAGAAATAAATGCGTCACAACAGACCGTATACCATATATTACCCGTTACATATTTATATACCACTATACTGCAATGTTCGTCATTACAAATATATCGCAATATACCGTGTTTGTCATTACAAATATATCGCAATATACCGTGTTATTACAAATATATCGCAAAATATATCGTGTTGTCATTACAAATATATCGCAATATACCGATCGTTGATAATTATAGTTTGCCAGGTTACTCTAAAGGGGGGGGGGGGGCTGGACCGAATGGTTAGCACGTGCGCGCTGTATCATAAGGTCTGTCATTGAGTCAACTGGCGTGGTTTCGATTCCCCGGTTGTACGTGACAAGGAATAGAGTCGCCTGTCCAACCTCATTTTATTGAAATAAAATAGATCCATATGTTAGTCCCGAAATGACCTGGTTTGTATCGAGTGGACGTTAAACCCCATTTTTCTCTCTACTCTAAAGGTGAATTATAACAATGTAAATTCCAGGATCTTCTAGCACGCGTTTTGATAGACTAATACGATCAAATTATTAACCACTGACCACGACACAGATAATGTCTTTCTCAGGGTTAAAATATGGACCTCGTGAGATTAATATTTCTCGCAACTCGTGAAGACAGATCAGTCGAGTTATTTGTGTGTGTGTGTGTGTGTGTGTGTGTGTGTGTGTGCTTTCCCCAGTCCACGATGATATGGGTCATTTTGAGACCAGCTTCGAGCTATTTTTATGTTCTATGATTGTATACATTGTACACATTGTTCACACCAAAAGACTTCACATGATCACCATGACAACCTTTTATCTGAAGGTGGCTAGTTGTTCGAATGGGGCAATAAATCAAAGAACCCTTAAGAGTTAGAATTTGACAAAGAGTACGTTGAAACGCCACTGACCGGGTAAAATTCTCCTACATCGCACAGAAATAAAATATTCCATATGTTGGTCTAAAAAGCTCTAATTGTGTTGGCTTGCCTTAAACCGGGGCCACGGTGGCTAATTGTCTTAAACCCTATTCCCTTCATGTGTTAGCTATACCCCTGACAAGCAGGAAATAGGGTTTAACATCCTACTGTTTTGCTCCGAACTGGGCTAATGAAGACGGACATAAGCCATAGTTTGCTATGGGGGAAATTTTGCCCGGACAGCGGCAATACGGCCTACTCTTATATCGAATTCCAACTGCCAAGGATTCTTTTATGAAATGAACTGAAATGAAATGGGGTTTAACGTCTTGCTGTTCTGTTCCGACCGGGCTAATGCAGACGGACTTCTTTTATGTCTTTGTGCATGCCATTGTGTACACGGGACCTCGGTATTTTCGTCCCATCCGAACGACTATACGTTGTCTTTAAGACGGGCGTAGGTATGGGAAACATGGTCATTTATCACAAGAGTTTTCTTAAAGTTGACACATAATAAAAAAAATATATATATAATTAAAAATTACTTACTGAAGGCCGTTCACAAAAAATTTCTCCGTTATATAATCCCGACAATTTGAATTCTCGAAGGCCAGATAAAATTTATAGTCCTTATTCAACATATCGAAACACTTTCCCGCCTGATATCTTGGACATTTTAACGTTCCACACCCACCATAAATATCCACACCAATATATTTAGCTAGTTCGTTAGCGTACTGGCGTCGGCCATTTCTAGCACCACAATTTGAAACAAACCACGCCACTTGCTTCGTTTTCCCGCCAGCATAGTTCTTCGTCTGCGGTTTGGTTTGCACCGATTCGTTAAAGGGAGAGAATTTTTCGTAAGGTGCCACAATGGTGGAATCATGTCGATATGTCGCTGTCCAATTAAATATATCTTGATAGGCACTTAAACCAGGAGTATGGTACGGTGATTCTAACATGAACAGAATCCATATCTGATTCAATGGACGTTTGAAAACGGGTCGGGACGGAGAATGGCTGAACAAAATGGCATCGGCATCGAGACCTTTCTGACGATCCGGGCTCAGAAAACATCTATTAACGGGACATTTCTGGTCTATAAAAGTTTGTTGACCCGGTTTGACATCCCAACCACTGAATCCGTTGTACACGACTATTGTTTTCATGGGTTCATCTTCGCCCCTTTCTTTCACATTCACGGGTATAAACTCCAACTGGTTCAATATACGGTCCTGAATACGGTCGGGGTCTGGGTAAATAAGGCCTTTGTTCCTAGGAGCTTTATAAAAGATTGAGCCTTCATTAATGACGGTGATATTTGCAGGGCGTGCCATCGCTCCCGGCACGTGATGGTGTACTTTAGGGCCCGTGAAATCTAACTTACGTTTCCCCTCATGACGTTGATAATTGACGCCCCAGGGGTAGACGTCTACCCCTTGCGTCACCCATTCATCACGTTTGTAGAAATTGAGAACAAGGATACAACCAACACTGAACGCTAAAAACACCTGAACTAATTTCTTCAGGTAAATTCTCATTCTTATAAAATATACCTGATGTTTTTTATATACAAATATATAACTATATATGTATGTATATATAGAGATGTTAAAGTCGGGTGTAGTTTACCTGGTCATCTACAGGTAAGTTGATATCCCTCTATAACCATATCACACCTGAAAGGTATACCACACAATTTTATACTGACAGGTATATCAACACAATTATAAAACACATCAAACTCTAATATATCCATACACAATGACCTTCTTTAATCCAGATATTTCACATATCGCCGCAATAATTTAAATATGAATCCTAGTGATCCACTACAAATCCAAGTTCTTGTCATTCAAATGTTATTATAATGTATCGACATGTCCCTGGCCCAATCTCACAAACACGGCACTTCAGAAACTTGGCGACGACGACTACGGCTTATAAATTACAAGACCTGAATTCATAACTGGTGAACAAGGACTAAAAGTTTACCTGTGCTACAGTCACGTGAGCACAAGTTAATCATGTATTCCTCATGGAGCGTGCTATAACAATTCAAAAGGTGGTCAGTTGTTGTAAGATTTAGGTGAGTGGATTCAGTCATGTCGAACACAGCAGATAAAACATCTATTGTACTTGCTCTCCATTACACCTGAAATATGAAAGAATGTGATTTAGCAGTACATTTATAAAAATAGGCTCATATTCAACACATTAAGACCACAAAAATGAATTATTTTTTAGTACTTAGGACTTTAGATAAATAAATAAATATCAGAGAGAGATAGAGAGACAGAGACAGAGACAGACAGACAGAGAGAGAGAGTGAGAGAGAGACAGAGACAGAGACAGACAGACAGAGAGACAGACAGAGAGAGAGAGTGAGAGAGAGACAGACAGACAGACAGAGAGAGAGAGAGACAGACACAGAGAGAGAGACAGACAGAGGCAGAGAGAGAGAGACAGACAGACAGACAGAGAGAGAGAGACAGACAGACAGAGAGACAGACAGACAGAGAGAGAGACAGAGGGAGAGAGAGAGAGACAGAGAGAGAGAGAGACAGAGAGAGAGAGAGAGATTTATAACCTTCTGTCATACAAATAATCTACGTTATATATAGTAGGACGTTAAGCCACATTTGATTTCATTTGTGATGAATAATGATAGTATACTCCCATTTCATCAAGTTCTAGTAGAAAGGATGGGGGGGGGGGTGCTCATAAGAGATGAGGGAGAGGGAAGGAGAGAGAGAGATGGGTTTAACGTCCACTCGACATAAACTAGATTATGTCGGGACTAACATATGGTTAAATTTTATTTCAATAATTCGCTTGCGCGTAAGGGTCTATAGCTGTGGGAGGATACCGGAGGACCCGGAGAAAACCCACGAAGTTGCACAGGCGACTCTACTTCTTGTCACGTAAAACCGGGGATTCTAAACCACGCCAGTTGATTCAATGCCAGACCTAATGATACAGCGCACACGCGCTAACCATTTGGCCATGCAACCCCCCCCCCCCAGATTTAGCTGCTTTAAGTACACAGACAACCAGGGGGGTTGGATGGCTGAATGGTTAGCGTGCGCGCGCTGTATCATAAAGTCTGTCATTGAGTCGACTGGCATGGTTTCTAATCACCGGTTGTACGTGGCAAGGAGTAGGGTCGCCTGTCCAACCTCGTGGGTTTTCTCCGGGTTCTCCGGTTTCCTCCCACTGCTAAAGACCCCTACGCGCAAGCGAATTATGTAAATAAAATTAAAAACCATATGTTAGTCCCGAAATGACCTAGTTTGTGTCGAGTGGACGTTAAACCCCATTTCTCTCTCTCTCTCACACAGACAACCACCATCTTCATTATCCCAGTTGGTGCAGAAAAGTAGGTAGTGAAATAGAATAATGTTTAAAGTAGCTATAAGTCTCTAACTCAATATTATTCAAAGTTTTCGACATTTAAAACACGAATTGTCTATCAATTAAAATCATCTTTGATGTTGTGATCTTACCGGGAAAAGATACGCTTCAGGGGCCTGTTTCACGAAATGTTAACTAAGATAAAATCCAAATTTTAGTAATTTGATTGGATAATATTAGATTGATTTTAGTGCTTATCTACTAAAATTTGGATTTTATCTTTAGTTAAGATTTCGTGAAACAGGCCCCTGATATCCAATATTTAAGACACAATTCGTGTACCGTAATGCGTTTCAGTGCCATTTGTAACAAGGGACTCGTAATGACCTAGTCTGTGTCGAGTGGACGTTAAACCCCATCTCTCCCCCCCCCTCCCTCTCTCTCCCTCTCGTTTGCAGAAATTCAGAACTATAGTGTTAAAATTGTCTCTGGAAACTTCTAGAGTTGACAGAAGTGTAATAATTAAATTAATATATAGATAAACTAATTTTCACCGTCTGGTTAATATATTATCTCATTACCTTTATTAATTAACATTTAAATTTAATTACACTCGTTCGCTGGGCTTGACGTCCGCTACCACCGAGAGTGATATCGCAGTAAATAAGGTATATAGGAAACAATCAGATATCGCACTAAAGACATTTAAAGGCTCAATACCACTCTTGTTGTAACTGAATATGTCCCAATCTTTATTCTGGTCAACAAATTGTACTATTTTACAATATTCCAATTAATTGATGATACAAATTTCATCTTAACACACCTAATTTAAAAAATTGGAAAAATTCAACTAAATGATTTGAAAAGCCTGACGTAAAGCTTTTCAAATGTTACTTGGATTAAAAAATATTTTTGAACCCTCTGGACAAGTAAAATAGGATTTAATGGATAATTTACACAACAGGTAGGACACTAACACATCTAGTACTTAGAATAAGGCTATTTTTTTATTTTCTGCAGCTGTCAACCCAGCAAGAGTGTTATTGTCCCTTTAACATAAGTTTCTTAATAATTTATATCTAGTCATTTTTTTATAATTAATTGTTCTTTTAAGTATAAAACACAATGAGATTTGACACGAATGAAATGAAATGAAATGGTGTTTAACGCCCTACCGTTCTGCCCCGTCTGGGCTAATGAAGACGGGCATACGCCATATAGTGTGCTATGAGGCAAATTTTGCCCGGACAGCGGCACTATATCGAATTCCAACTGCAAAGGGATATTTTACGTGTATGTCAATGTATACACAAGACCTCGGTTTTTCGTCCCATCCGAACGACTAGACAGCTGTCCTTGCCAGCCCCCCCCCCCACCCGTCCTGCACCACTAACAAGGGGATACCACGTCGGGAAATCCCGACACTGAAGACAATGAGTTATCAATTGTATTATATTATCATATTGTAGTTCATTCAACTGTTGTGATTATTATAATTAATACGTCATTAAAAACTGATCACGTGTCTACTTGTTAGAATTAATCACGGTTTGTTAATATGACCCGGAAGTCACGACATGCGAGAGAGAGAGAGAGAGAGAGAGGGAGAGAGAGAGAGAGAGAGAGAGAGAGAGAGAGATTTACAATTGACAGGGTTCTGTGGTGGTACAGTAAATTAACCATTGTTGGTTTCGAAAGAGAGTGGATCGTAGTGACAGTCGTAGCGACCCTGTTCGGGAAATGAAATGGGGTTTAACGTCCTACTGTTTTACTTCGAACTGGGCTAATGAAGACGGAAACACACCATACAGTGTGCTATGAGGGAATTTTGCCTGGACAGCGGCACTACGGCCTACTATTATATCAAATTCCAACTGTCAAGGGATCTTTTACGTTCACGCCAATGTGTACACGGGACCTCGGTTTTTCGTATAACCCGAATGACTAGACAGCTGTCCTTGTCAGGCCCTCCGTCCTGCATCACTGACAAGGGGGAACCCACGCCGGAAAATCTGGATGAACTTTCTCGGACAATGCAGGGATCGAACACCCAACCTCCAGGCTAGCGAGCCAGCGTCTTACCCACTTAGTCACCGTGGCTGTAAAATAGTTATGAATGTTACAAGAGGTTTGAGAACGTTAGACCGGAGACCGTCTAGCTCGAGATTTGAGAGGCCTCTGGCCAAGATGTATCATATTTTTGTCACTTTCATAAGTCTTTCGTCTAAATCTGGCACACGGTTCAGTCTTAGTCGAAAACCGTGGTCACGCGTACACATTGACGTAAAAGATCGCCCACTGTATAGAGTATGCCCGTCTTCATTCGTCCAGTCGGAGCCTAACAGTAGGACGTTAAACCCCATTTCATTTCATTTCTGTGTTGAATAATGATAGTATACTCCCATTCCATCAAGATCTAGTTATAGGGATCTAGTTATAAGAAAGAGAGAGAGAGAGAGAGAGAGAGAGAGAGAGATGGTGTTTAACGTCCACTCGACATCTATGTCATTTCGGGACTAACACACTGTTTAATTTTAATTCAATAATTCACTTGCTCGTAGGGTCTTTAACAGTAGGAGGAAACCGGGGGATCCGGCGAAAACCCGCGAAGTTGACAGCCGACCCTACTCCGTCATGTATAACCGGGGAATCGAAACCATGCCAGTTGATTCAATGACAGACCTTATGATACTGCGCATACGCGCTAAACATTCGGCAATCTAACCCCCACCCTCTTAGGAATACATTCTCAGAGGGGGCTAACTGTAGACAGGCAGCCTATATTTGGGATGACCATAGGGCTAACTGTAGACAGGCAGCCTATATTTGGGATGACCATAGGGCGTGAATAGAATAATAATATCAGTATACTTACATGTACATGTCGTTCTACTATATCTGTCGATGGTTTGTCGTGTTGTGTTAGTTAGCGTGGTATATAAATATCTTCCTTGATGTTACACTTCCTGTAATACAAGGACAGATATAATATTATATATATATATATAATAACTCATGATTAATATTAACACAAGATCACACGGTGTTCATTGCCTCATGAAGAGAGAGAGAGAGAGAGAGAGAGAGAGAGAGAGAGAGAGAGAGAGAGATGGGTTTAACGTTCAATCGACACAAACTGGGTCATTTCGGGACTAACCCATGGTTCAATGTTATTTCAATAATTCGCTTGCGCGTAGGGGTCTTTAGCAGTGGGAGGAAACCGGAGGACCCGGAGAAAACCCACGAGGTTGAACAGGCAACCCTACTCCTTGTCACGTACAACCGGGGATTCGAAACCACGCCAGTTGACTCAATGACAAACCCTATGATGTAGCGCGGAAAGCGGCCTACGATCTACTCTCGTATTTCGAAATCCAAATGTCGGGGATTCTTTTACGTGCACGTCAACGTGTACACGGTACCTCGGTTTTTTGTTCCATCCGAACGACTATAGAGACTTTTCTAAGCCAGTTCATCCGTCCTGCACCACTAACAAAGGATACCCAAGCTGGAAAATCCTGGGGAACTTGCTCGGAAAAAGCCGAAGAGTACTTGGCACAAACTAGGTAATTTCGGGACTAACACATAGTTCAATTTTATTCCAATATTTCGCTTGCGTATAGGGGTCTTTAGCAATGGGGTGGGGCGGAGGACCTGGATAAAACCCACGAAGTTAGATAGGTGACATTACTCGTTGTCACGTATATACTAGCGGATGATCCGGTGCTACACGTGTTGAGAGAGAGAGAAATGGGGTTTAACGTCCACTCGACACAAACTAGGTCATTTCGGGACTAACATATGGTTTAATTTTATTTCAATAATTCGCTTGCGCGTAGGGGTCTTTTTAGCAGTGGGAGGAAACCGGAGGACCCGGAGAAAATCCACGAGGTTGGACAGGCGACCCTACTCCTTGTCACGTTACACGTGTTGACAGAAGTATAAACCCGAAACCGGGCGCGATAGGCTAACGCTAACTAGCCCATGTTGCTCCCCGGTCCGAGCTACCCCTATATACTAAATTCTAGCCTTGGGACAGACCTAGTAGTGTAGCCGCCTACCCTGAACAGACAGACAGACGGAAGGCCAAACGGACAGACAAACGACAGTGCACAAATATTAGTACAGATTATTATACAAGCCGATATCACGCAAAATAGAATCTAAATTCATTTTAAAACATAATCTAGAAAAGAAATGAAAGGGGATTTTTAAAATAATTTTGGTTATGTGAGATTAATGCTCTGATTAGATGTAACGCTAGACACGGAAGTAAATGTTACAAGTGTTAGATTTTATATCCTCCAATCATAAACATAATTAAATCTGTCTATTTCAGGTCTTTTTTAGGCCTGAAATGTTATATGTATTGTTTAATGGTCGAGAGCGAGACATTAAAATGGGGTTTAACGTCCTACTGTTCTGCACCGACTGGGCTAATGAAGACGGGCATACACCATACAGTGTGCTATGGAGCAATTTTGCCCGGACAGCGACACTACGGCCTACTCGTATATCGAATTCCAACTGCCAGAGGATCTTTTACGTGCACACCAATGTGTACATTATCTCGACAAAAAATAAAACATGATTTATTCCTTGTTTTACGGTCTTTGTTTTACGGATGATTTTTTCACTTTTCACGAGGTTTTACTTTTTTTGTTCAGTATACACGAAAAGGACACCGTTTTATTTCGCATATTGGGGGGATGGCTGGCTGAATGATTAGAGTGTGCGCGTTGTATCATAAGGTCTGTCATTGAGTCAACTGGTGTGGTTTCGATCCCCGGTTGCACGTGACAACGTGACAAGGAGTAAAGTCGCCTGTACAACCTCGTGGGTTTTCTCCGGGTGCTCTGGTTTCCTCTCACTGCTAAAGATCCCTTCGCACACGCGAACACACTCTCTCTCTCTCTCTCTCTCTCTCTCTCTCTCTCCAGAAGAACACAACAATTAGTATAGACTACTGTTTTGTCTTGCGGTTCTCCTCCGGTTCGCATCTGTTAAACACAAAATGACAAATTAAACCTTTTTATTTTCATTAAATGAAGGAAGAATGTACACTTCTCAAAATTCTCGACTAACTTAGTGTCTGTTGTAGACAGACAGCTTGAGTTTAGTATGGGAGATACCCAGCGTGTTTTAGTGGTTAATATATGTGTATATTTCCGGCAGGGGAAGAACAGCTAGGTTTATGTTATAATAAAGACATCAATGTTGAAGAAATTAAAGTACCCTATAAATAAACTCATATCCTATAACTGTATATATGGGTCATATATAGATATAATTATAGATACGAGTATATATATTATAGTATAACAACAATACATCAACACCATTTTAACTAACAGATGGCCGAATGGTTAGCACGTGCGCGCTGCGCTGTATAATACGATCTGTCATTGAGTCAACTGGCGGGGTTTCGAATCCCCGGTTGTCTCTATCTGTCTCTCTGGGGTCGGATAGACTAGCGATCAGGCGACAGACTGCATATGATCAGCTCTATTTATCTCTACAATCGGTGCCTGAATACTGTCAGACAGCATTTCCCGCAGTCTATTTTTCAAAATTTTCTGTGGAATGTCTCCCATTTGGCGGTCGTGATTGGAGTTTGTCGCGGTTCGCAAGTCGGTTAGTTTGACACTTTACCTCAACGTTCAGTGCCTGAAATACTGTCAGGCTGCATTTCCGGCAGCCTGTTTTTCAAAATTGTCTGGAGGAGACCTCCCTACCCCTAGTTGAAGCTAGTGCCTTTGCCCCCTTAACCTTGGACTTTGCCCCTCCAACCACCGACGGTTGGCGCCGGCATTGCCCACCCCACCCCCATGTCCAAATATTTGTACTTAAAGCGATTTCCATGTTGATATTAGTCACACATTGTTATTTAAAAAGTATTAAAAGTTGAAATGAGCTGTAAGGCTTCAGGGACCTACCCGTAACCCACCATGAGAGACAAGGAGGACAGTCCTGCCCAACTCTATTGCATAAGATTCATCCGATTTAGAACTAGGTAGGGTATTTAATGTCCGACTTTATCATCGTATTACATTTGCAAAAACTTATTTAAATGAGAGGAAAAGGAAATACAATGAGAGGGAGGGAGAGAGAGAGAGAGAGAGAGAGAGAGAGAGAGAGAACGAGAGAGAGAGAGAACGAGAGAGAGAGAACGAGAGAGAGAGAGAGAACGAGAGAGAGAGAACGAGAGAGAGAGAGAGAGAGAGAACGAGAGAGAGAGAGAGAGAGAGAACGAGAGAGAGAGCGAGAGAGAGAACGAGAGAGAGAACGAGAGAGAGAGAGAGAACGAGAGAGAGAGAGAACGAGAGAGAGAGAACGAGAGAGAGAGAGAGAACGATAGAGAGAGAGAGAACGATAGAGAGAGAGAACGAGAGAGAGAGAGAGAGAGAGAGAGAGAACGAGAGAGAGAGAGTGAGAGAGAGAGAACGAGAGAGAGAGAACGAGAGAGAGAGAACGAGAGAGAGAGAACGAGAGAGAACGAGAGAGAGAGAGAACGAGAGAGAGAGAGAGAACGAGAGAGAGAGAGAACGAGAGCGAGAACGAGAGAGAGAGAACGAGAGAGAGAGAACGAGAGAGAGAGAGAGAGCGAGAGAGAGAACGAGAGAGAGAACGAGAGAGAGAGAGAGAACGAGGGAGAGAGAACGAGAGAGAGAGAACGAGAGAGAGAGAGGGAGAGAGAACGAGAGAGAGAGAGAGAGAACGAGAGAGAGAGAGAGAGAGAACGAGAGAGAGGGAGAGAGAGAGAGAGAGAGAGGGAGAGAACGAGAGAGAGAGAACGAGAGAGAGAGAGAACGAGAGAGAGAACGAGAGAGAGAGAGAGAACGAGAGAGAGAGAACGAGAACGAGAGAGAGAGAACGAGAACGAGAGAGAGAGAGAGAACGAGAGAGAGAGAGAGAGAGAGCGCGAGAGAGAGAGAGAGCGCGCGAGAGAGAGAGAGAGAGCGCGCGAGAGAGAGAGGGGAGAGAACGAGAGAGAGAGAGAGAGAGATGGGGTTTAACGTCCCCTCGACACAAACTAGGTCATTTCGGGACTAACATATGGTTTAATTTTTTATTAAGTAATTCGCTTGCGCATAGGGGTCTTCAGCAGTAGGAGGAAACCGGAGGACCCGGAGAAAACCCACGAGATTGGACAGGCGACCCTACTCCTTGTCACATACAACCGGGGATTCGAGAGAGAGAGAGAGAGAGAGAGAGAGAGAGAAATGGGGTTTAACGTCCACTCGACACAAACTAGGTCATTTCGGGACTAACATATGGTTTAATTTTTATTTCAATAATTCGCTTACGCATAGGGGTCTTTAGCAGTGGAAGGAAACCGGAGGACCCGAAGAAAACCCACGTGGTTGGACAGGCGACCCTACTCTTTGTCACGTACAACCGGGGATTCGAAACCACGCCAGTTGACTCAATGACAGGCTTTATGATACAGCGAGCGCGTGCTAACCATTCGGCCAACCAATAAGAAAAGAATCGGATTCGAAACCACGCGGCTATCAATTCTTCTCTAACTGCCATTAACATATCTTAGCGCCCTGGAAACGGTTGACCAATCAGAGGCCGAAAGAAAATGAAATGAAATGAAATGGGATTTAACGTCCTACTGTTCTGCTCCGAACTGGGCTAATGAAGACGGGCATACGCCATACAGTGTGCTATGAGGGAAATTTTGCGCGGGGCAGCGGCATTACGGCCTACTCTTATATCGAATTCCAACTGCCAGGGGATCTTTTACGTGCATTCCAATATATACACGGGACCTCGGTTTTTCGTCTCATCCGAAGGACTAGACAGCTGTGCTTGGCAGGGAATTATATTTGGAAGAACAGTAATACAGTCCTACTGTTCTGCTCCGACCTGGGCTAATGAAGACGGGCATACGCCTTACAGTGTGCTATGAGGGAAATTTTGCCCGGGGCAGCGGCATTACGGCCTACTCTTATATCAA